CACCAATAGCGGCTCTAATGATAATCATCTAACAAGAAAATCCCTGAAATAGCGATGATAAACAAATATATAGAAATAAAACTCACCCGGCATCCTCTTCGCCCTTGCTGGCGTCGATCTGGCCGCCATCCTGTGAGTTCCCGTCCGGATCGGTCCCCGCTCCTTCTCCGCAGTCGTTCTCGGCGCTGCCGTCGTTTCCTCCTCCGTTAAAATCATCCTCCGCTTCATGGCCGTTTTCTGATGTTTCCATGTACTGCTGTTCTGCTTCTGACATTTTGAACTAATACACCTAAAACAAACAGAAATAGATTATTCGCGATGAGTTGCCTGATAGGATCGTTTTCACAGTCAGCCCTTCGACATTTACGTGCTGGCAGTTTTCGCTTCCCCACCATTTTGACCGGCGACACTGCGCTATCAGCACTAACCCAGGGAACCCCTGGCTTCTATCTGAACGGTTTGCTATTTAAACAAAACGGCAGCCACTTAGCGTCTAAAGAGTCGCTCTACTGGAGCCAAATAATAGAAAAACCACCTGAATCATACCGATTAGCCAAACGCGAACTCGAATTTGCAATTACGTAATTCAGAGGCCGTGCTACGCGAAATGTAGGACAATATTGCGACGCATTCATGTCACCTTCATTTAAAAAACAAAAAGGTGAAATAATAAAAAAAACATGTATGTATATTTGTAAAATAAGAGCGTAATATGAAAAATATACAAAGATCTACTTGCCGATCGCGGTCGAGGAGCTCTCTTCAAGATGGATTCTCCCACACGACGACAACTCGTGGTTGGTTTTTTTAGAAGCGGCTAAGGAAAAAAACACACGTTTCTGCAACGGAGCCTCCTGATTGGCCACCGCAGCTGTCAGTCATATCCGACGGCCATTTGGAGACGTCGAATTTTTTTTCTTTCCAAGAGGGGTTCCCGCCCTCTTACAACACAGGAAGGAACTCAATGAACCTTTTTGAGCTGCTGGAAATGTGTCCCCGGCGAAGTGAAAAAGCCGCCCTTAAAGGGACACTATGCAACATTTTGCAGTTAATTAATGTGTTCCATAACGTTTTGGATGATTAAATGAGTCATTTCAGGTTGAAAAAGGGTATTCTCGGCCGCCCTGGTGGTCTGTGGGGGAAATACTGCACTTGCAACTGCAGGAGCACCGACCCGCACCCACAGGCTCAGAAGTCTCGTGAGAGTCAGTCTTGCTTTACGGCGAGAACTGCTACACGCCCCCAGTTAAAAGCATTCTCGTTGCTAGCACAGTGGCGATCTTTGTGCAGTTATGCTACGTTCACGCAGCAAAAGCAGCAAAATCGCGTCTGCTGCTTCCTTTTTGCTGCTTGTACCAGTTAGTTCTGACGCGTGGCTGAAGCAGCTTTGCTGCTCCGGCTGTGTCTGAGGCGCGTTGGGCGGAGCTTCACTATCCTTTCTCTGCCTTGCAGCTATATTTGCTGTGATCAGTGGGAATAAAGTAGTTTTAATATGTGTTTAAGTAAGAAAATACACCTGAAAACGTAATCAGTGCAGTCAGTTCATTCAGATTATTATCCTGCCTTCAATATTTTTTCTGTCGGAGCCGCTCAGACCCCCACATACCAGCGGGGCGCCAACAGTATGGATCCCTTCATCAGCAGCGGTTCATCGCGGCAGCTGGTAGGTGTTTTTCATCTAAATAATCCAAACTGCATATTCTGCCGGCAGATTTCTGCATTTTAAGTTAATTTAGGCGTTAATAAACTGTTTAAGAGGAGAGATCATCAGCGCTGTGTCTCTCTCCCTGCGTTAAACGCACCCGACGCGCTGCTTCAGCTGCTCAGACGTGCTGCGCCTGGTGCTCAAAACGCGCCGCGGGACCTTTTGCTGCGCCTTGACGCGCGTCAACCATTGACTTTGCATGTAAACTCGCTGCTTCTGTCGCGCCAGCTACGTCCAGTGTGAACGCAGCGTTAGTCATTCGCTGCTAAGCTCAAAACAACCGCGCCTGGCTTGACGGAGAAACCAGGAGAACAGCTGTGCATATTTACGACAGTGCACTTTTACTTTCGCCCTCTGGAGGGAGCCTCACTGGAAAATCAACACCGGTTGCATAGTGTACCTTTAAAGCTAAATAAAGCTACAAATTGTCTACTTTCACCCATTTATGCTTTTAACATGAAGTCTGAGAGAGAGAAAAATGCTAGAAAAGGGCGAATTTAATTTAGTACTGACAGGAAACCTAATGACCTGTCAGGGCAAAGAAATGAAAGCCTTTGATCAAACAGCACAGATAAGCGCAAAAATTGAAGGAAACTAGTTAAAAGAACTACGATAAATGAAATGAATTCACAAATGACTTCAATGATCTAATAACTTTCCCACCCATTTTTGGCCTTGTTTGACATTACAAACACAAACTGCATTTTTTAAATTGAACGTGACAGACTAAAAAAGTAAAAAAAAAAAAAAAAAAAAAAAAAAGAAAGAAAGAAAGAAACAATCCCCTGGACTTTGTTTCTAAGTTTGAAGACGTTTCCAGACATCCCAAGTTCCAAAAACTAATTTCAGGGAGATGCTTACCCCCCCTCGCCATGTTGTCGTCATTCCTCGCCATGGCCGGTTCTAGACAGGGGCCAACAGGGGCCAGTGCCCCTGTAGACCATATCCTGGCCCCTGTTATGGCCCCTCTACTGAAGACATAATACTTAAAGACATTCTAATGATGATATGTGCTGCAACAGACATGGTTACTGATAGGTCCTGTGGATGTGTTTTTTTTTCTTTACAAATTCTGATTTACTAATTATTTAAAAACAATAAGGTGATAGCTTCAGTGGTATTGAGATAGGATCCCAGTTTTAATATGTTAAATGTTTTTTTTTCCCACAATAAATAAAAAAAATTTTTTTTCTTGAGTTCCAATTCAAATTTTATAGAAAAGTGTAGTTTTAACTACTATATATAAAGTCAAAAATATGCAAAATTCCTAAATTAAAAATGTATATTGACCTCATAAGAAATATTATTTTTATCCAACCTAATTGAAAAAGAAATTTCACTTCATGCAGCTCTCTTAATATATTTGAATCCCTTGCCCTGTTTTTTATTTCATGCTTTTCTGTGCCCCTATGAAAACACGCTGCCCCCCTCCTGGCCCCCTGGTACATTTGGTCTAGATCCGCCACTGTTCCTCACCTTCACTAGACGTGGATATACTTTAGTATATTCTGCTGTAAAATTAGTCCTATATTTTCACTTTTTGCTTGAGGATACCTCTGCCATTTCACAGGATGCACAGCTTTGAGTGGTAACTAGGTGACTGCCAGAGAGTAACCCACAGAAACTTATCGGACTGATCCAATCAGCTCTCTGATCAACCAGTCGCCTGGATTGCTGGTTGAACAGAGCAACGCTTTGGATAGATACGCTGCACAGGTTTCACCAGCAACCTCCTCCCCACACCGCTCTCTCTTGTTGTTCCTGCGCAATCGCAGTAGTTCTAATCCGCACAAGGTGCACAAATTATTATATTGCCTGATCGCTCTCACTCGCATAAAAAAAAAAACACCACCTTGCAGAGTCTAAAATCCGGTATAATTTATGCGACTCGCCGGCATCAGTGAACAACTATCTATATCAGGGAGACTCCCAGAACTTCCGGGAGACTTGGGATGTCTGTTTCGCTTCCCATCCAGGAAGCTTTTTGCATTAAAATCAATCCATTTTAAATGGAAAAAACTTCCTGGATGGGAAACGAAACGTCTTCAAACTTGGAAAACAAAGTCCAGTGAATTGTTTTTTTTTTTACTTTTTTGGAATGACTATGACCTGGATGACTGAGAATCTTCACCAGTATACGTAACAGACCAAAACACAGCAGTGTATAAAAGTTAAACAGTAGAAAGGTCTTTATTGAGGAAGTTTTTTGCACACATAAGGCATTTGTCTTCTTCTGGTTCAGTAAATATGTAAAGCCTTAAACGAAATAAACATGGATACAATAGTACTGTAGACAGGTGTGTAAGTAGAGTGTTTACAATTTCTTTATTCATTCATAAATGAAGGTAATGGGAGGTTGTGATGGTGCAACAAGCTTAATTATTTCCCAGTAGAGTAACTTACTACTGTAATGTGTTCACCCAGGGAGTGCCTGGGGGAAGGAACTGCTCTTGTGGTGGCTGGCATTGGGAAGTTGTTTTTTTTTAAAGTGACAGATGCAACTAGAAACTAAAAAGGTTGCACTTTTTCTTCGTCTTATAGCTAAAATTTTGTCAGAGAGACTGGAGAGCATCTATTGATTCAAATTCTTTGGTCTCACTTCTGTTTTCAGCTGGACTAACATTGGTATGCGTGGTATGAACTCATGATGCCTGAAATATATAAACTGACAGTTATTGTACTGCTAAAAGTCTGAAGAGAGAATATACACAAGAATATGCACTTGTGGTATAAGGATACTATATCTATAACATGTTTAACAGCTTTTAGTTTACTTATTTAATCTGCACTACTTTAATGAGTAGGAGCATGATGAGGAAGGGAACAGGTTAAGAGCTCTTTAGTAAACCTTAGGCCTTGATTATTAAATTAAACCTAAACTGGATCAAATAACATATTGGTTGATTTCAACCTACTTGTAAAGATAACTGGATATATTCAAGTGTAAGAATAAAAGTGGCTAAATTTAAATGCACACTTAACTTTATAATTTTTAATCTGTAAAAAAATGTTAAAAACCATACATTTTCATAATTTTATATGTCACCCATGTACCATTTTACTACTAAAATACATTTAAGTTTAAGGTTGTAATGTGACAGAATGTAGAAACGCTGTATGATGTGAAGATAGGGTATGATCCACATTTATTCTGACATTTTCAACATGGTCAGTCTTATACCAAAAACAGTAATCCCCCCCCAATGTAGCATAATTAGCTTTTACTGTGACTAACTGTATGTGCTCTCTTTCACCCTTTCTGACATTAAATATGGTCTCAGAACTCATCTTTCTTTCCTAGACAGCAACACTTATGGTGTTAGTCTTCTCTTACCTTCTCTATGAGAAAAAGTATTTCTGCATCAGTGTTTCTCTTCCTTTGGTGTGTCTGCTTGTCTACCTGAGCTCCAGTCGGCCTCGGTAGAAGGACACTCACACTGAGCCTGTTTCTGCAGGGGGTTTTACCCTGTTAAGATGTTTGTTTGTTTTTCTCTCCTCTGTCACTGCCTGCTTGCTCCATGTGAGGGATTGCTGCAAAATTAATGACTCGATGCAAATATCTGGTTTTCCTATAAATAAATAAGGGGACTGCTGTCCATCATTTACGTTTTCAAAGACTCTTAGTGCTGCCAGTCACTGCTGTGTTTCGTGAAGCTCTAACTAGGGGTTAAAAATGAAATTTTTATAACACCATTGCATTTTAAAGTATGTTATTTATTATTATATCCATCTTACTTTAAACCCACTGGCTACTTTTTATTATGTCAAATAATATATTAAAATAAAAAGCAAAAATATCTGATATACTTGAGAAAACCACCAAAATACTTGACTGCTATCAAATATTTACATGTTTAACACTGAACAGACCAATAAATCAATGCAAATAGACATAAAAAAGTTGTGTAATCCTTCCCTCCTTATTTTGCTCTCTGGCCATCAGTTCTGATCTTCCACATCACATATTTGAGGTTGGTTGGGATCGTTTTTCAGGAGCCAGTCAGAAAGCCAAATCTATTGAGAAGAGCAAAGATGCACAAGCTTACAACCACGTCGTTCTCGCGTATGACGCTTTGAACACCATCAATACTTACACAGGGTTTGGAAGGCTTTTCCTTACAGAGCTCAGTGAGTCCTCGCTGGAGAACTGGAATCACGTTCCTGCTCAGATACTCCTCCGTTTCCTCTATGGTTGGAAGGGGCTCATTTACAGCTGCAGTGAGAAATTGCACTGGGTTCAGCACTTCAAACTGTGAGCGACGAGAATTTTGACGGAGCAAACTACATACTGTTTGGAAACATGAATTGAATCTCCCTCACTGCTGTGAGAAATGAGTCGCTGCCGTGAAGAGCATTCTGAAGGTCAGAAGTCCCATATTTTGCTCTAAGGCTAAAACATTGGAGATAGATAGGTAAAAATAGATCAAATATTAGATTCAATGAGGGTCAACAGGCATTTTACTAGAACCAGGACAGTTTCGGTACACTGATTTCAGTCAAACTGGTTTACTTTCAGGAGTGTGTGGCCAAATCACCATCTCTATGAAGTTTGTAAGTAGAAAGATACGACTCCTTGAGTGATAAGACAAGAAAAGGGACAGTGGTAGTCTTAGTTAAGGATGGTTGCTAATAAAGTGCTAATTTCAACATGCTAAGACTTTTTTAATCTCTACAAGCTCTTGAATATAATTAGCCTAAAAGTCCTCCCAAAGTTACATCCATGGTTTCAAAAAAATTCTACTGCATTTTTTCCTTCCACTCAACTTTTGATTAATATGCTTGGATGCAGGATGAGTAATAGTCAAGCCTCTTCCATAAGTATGAAGGGCGAGTCATGACAGAGCATTTTTTGTTTCAAAGGTTTTTTTAATCATTTATTATTTACCTTATCAAGGCTGCAATTTAAAAAAGGAAATTGTCTAGAGAGCTGTTCTAAACGAAATTTATTTTTGTTTAAACTTGTGTATATAAAATGACCAAATAAATCTGTCTAAGTCTCATTGGTAATCATCAAATTTTTTCTGTAATGATGAAATTCACTGAATCAACCAAAAAATTTTATTAACCCAGTTTTCTTTAAACATGTAAAATGCACAAAGACTTGCATTTCAGACTGACCATTCCGGATGAGTTTGTCTGGCTTTGGAGATGTTGTCAGGCCCCATTATGGACTTCCAGTGAGCAACAGCGTTGTCCCGAGCCAGTATCATGGCAACAATGGGGCCAGAGCTCATGAAGGCCGTCAGACTGGGGAAGAAGAAGGTTCCGTACTGGTGTGCATAAAACTCACTGCATTGCTCAGGACTCAGCTGCAGCCTCTTCTTCTACAAAAGGAATAATTCATTATTGTGAGACGATCCAGATGGGTTAAATGACTTTTAGAAAGACAAGGTTTTTCACATGGGTACCTCAGAGCTGATACTTCAGTTTGTTTGTTTTTTGTTGTTATTCTGATTTAATTTACTTTTTATGTCTGACTTAAAAAAAATGTTTAGCCTGACATAAATTTTGATCAGCGTAAACTGTGCATTATATCAGTATTTTACATCTTGAAGATTAAAGGATCCTGTATGCATTCTGATGGATTTTAATATCCCAATAACACAAAGTTCTATTTCATAAAGATCTATAAATATGAAATTATGATTTTCTTACAGTGAGGTAATTATCCGGGAAATTTTGTTTGTCAAAAATAGGCCTTTAAAGCACAACCCTGAATCCATCCATCCATCCATCCATCCATCCATCCATCCATCCATCCATCCATCCATCCATCCATCCATCCATCATGTGTGCACCAGGGTATTTCCCCAAGACAAGCCTAGAAATCCTATAAATTGTTTATAGATATGTTTTTGCATGTAAGGACTGAACAATACCCTTTTTATGTTTTTTTGTCGTTGTTGCAAGAACATGTATCCAAATTTTATACAGCCTAGATACAATGACTAATTCTATAACGTTTATATTGTACATAAATTATAATTTTGCTCTAGGTCAGACGTGCTTACTACTGCCCTCTAGTGGACAAAAGGTTCAACGATCAATGCTCCATAAACGTTAGAAATTCAATTATCTTCAATACTGAATCTCAATCACAAATAAAACAATTAATGTTTTATTTTGCGATACATTATAGTGTAAACAAACCTTAGTGTTTCAATGTTCTACCAACCTGCAGAATAATGAATCCTGATCTCAGAATAACGTCTTCGATCTCCTCTGATTTCTGAACAGCGTCAGGTTTGATGATAGCCAGCGTTCTTTCAACGTAAATACGTTGCTCTGAAGTTTGGTCCATTTCCCTCTGCTACCTGGCGCTAAAGTGTGACAACTTTAGCTAAATCCAAACACAAAATACACGTTTAGTGCGTAGATCCACTCCTAGGTTGATTGCAAGTGAATCGATACTATTATTTAAATAGTTATAGATGAAGCAGACAGAGGGGGAAAAAAACGCATCCGCACACGAACCTTGGTTGCTATGATACCAGATAACTACGGCGACTTGCGAAGGACAATTTGTAACTTTTTTGTTTGTCCTGCAAACCAGTACAAATGCACAATATTTAAAATAGTGAATTACATCACAGTGGTCTCGGTCACCATTGTTTTAGCGTGTCTCTGTGACCCTTATATATTCCATACAATATTTGTAATATGGGATCAGCTTTTGTTACAAAAAATAAAAACGTAACTATGAAGACCTTATATGTGTATATATATGTATGCATGTGTACATATATATGTGTAGAAATGTATTTGCATAGATATATATGAATATGTTATGAATATAAATTAAAAGGTTAAATCTAAACATTGTGACCTTCAATATTTTATAAGCCCATGCAAAATGTCAACCTTTTAAGATCTGTGTATGGACACACTAGGTACAGACTATTTGAGAAAGTATTAAAGAGATAAAATTAAGAAGAAAAAAGAAAAAAAGAAAGTCCTAGGAAAAAAAAAAAAAGACAAAAGTGGTAGTGATGGAAAAACGTCATATAATTAAGGGTACATTTCCAGGACAGTCACCATTTGCAGAACTATTTCAGTTCTGGAGTAATAGGGCCAGGTTATCTTAATTATCTTTATTCTTTACAAGAATAAACTCGGGAGAATGAAGCCAAAGAGATAAAAATAAATTCATATTACAAAAATAAAGTATACAGGTCCTTCTCAAAATATTAACAGTGCCACAGGTTGATTGCCTCCATGCCACGCCGCATTGAAGCAGTCATTTCTGCAAAAGGATTCCTGACCAAGTTTTGTTTGCATAACTGTGCATAATTATTTGAAGGTTGACTTTTTTGTATTAAGAACACTTTTCTTTTATTGGTCGGATGAAATATGCTAATTTTGTGAGATAGGAGTTTTGGGTTTTCATGAGCTGAATTCCAAAATCCTCCATGTTAAGACAATAAAAGACCTGAAATATTTCAGTTAGTGTGCAATGAATCTAAAATAAATGAATGTTCATGTTTTATTGTTACATTATGGAAAATAATGAACTTTATCACAATATGCTAATATTTTGCAAAGGACCTATATTCTGAGATTAAAGTCCCTCTGATAATGTTTAGCTGAGTCTGACAGCGTATTTGCCAAATTCAACATGGCAGACACACTTACTCATTCACAGCATAGGCAGACTCCGCCCAATGAGTGGTATACACATTAAATGTTGAAGTCTTAAAGTAAAACTTAACTTAAATTTAACACCAATCCAAGTGCCTTCGGTCCAACTCTCGATTTGTGTTAACACTATATAGTGTTTATCTTACTCCAGTTGCAATAACACTAAGAATCAATTTACTTTGACACGTTTAACACAATGTACCGGTATATTATCTCTATGGGTGTAACACTAGTACCCTCCCTCACACATTTCAGTACAGAGTTCTGAAAGGGGTAAGGAGCAATTATGGGAATTTAAAGTAACCCCAAGTGAAATAATGTAGTGAATCAGGTTATGATTTACAACTCAATGTTAGATTCTCTTCAAAACTGCACTTCATTTCTTGGCCTATTTTTAAAGTCACTTTAAAAGCTGAATCTTTGGTTCAAAATGCTGGAATTTTCTCATTTTGTCTATAAAGACAACATTGATGCCTCAAGAGGTCAGCTAAAATGCATCCAACCAAACACCAATTTTTTTACGATTTTGACAAATTTTCTACTTTATGTTTATCGGGTATAAAAGTTTCAGACACAGGAGTCAATTACTTCTTTTATCTCTTTATTGAAAACAGAACTGCTTATGCATCTGCAATGGTGACTTCAACCTCTACGCCTGGTTCGATGCTGATGGAGGTGATCTGCTTGACAATTTCAGACGGACTGTGCAGGTCTATCAGGCGCTTGTGGATCCTCATCTGGAAGCGATCCCAGGTTTTGGACCCCTCACCGCAGGGAGTCTTCCTGGTGGTGATGCGCAGAGTCTAGAGGTGGACCAAAGGTGCAAATGAGCTTTCAGATATAAACCAAAAGGAATTTCAGAGTTTCTATGAATCTGTCAAAAACTAGAGAAGGAGAAGCATATTTAAAAGAAAAGTCTGTACCTTGGTTGGCATGCGGACTGGTCCTTTCACCTTCAGGCTCTTCTCCTTGGCACCACGGATCAAATCAGCACAGACTAAAAAAAATAAACCCAAAATGATTTAACATCCAAAGTACAACTAATACATTGTGTTAACTTCATCCCACAGCTCAGAATAGCGTATTTGGTCACCACAGTTAATAACTGATAAAAATGTTTATCCTCATTGCTTCAGTTTCTTTCAAACACCCCATTGGGAGATCGGTTACCTTTCTCCAGGGATTTGACGTTGCGGCTGGTGAGGGTGATACGGATGCGATGGATAGCAACCTCGGTCTCCGCAGGTGCCTTGCCAGAGTCCTTAAAGGCCTGCAGTAGAAGAGAACCCAAACATCTTCATTCGCAGAAGCAGCTGCTCTAATGCAACCTTAAATGTTCAGATTGCATCTTTATTAATATGTGCACATGATTAATTATACTAAGGTAACCAAATAAAGTATACATCTCTATTTTCACAGTTGCTCTCAAAACGAAGATGCATCAAACTAGTTGCTATGAGGTCGATAACTTGCTTAAAATCTCATCTCAACTTGAAGTAAACACAAACTTGCCACATCTAAAACAATCTCACCTGTGTTCACTGAGACTTAAAAGATTGGATCATATCAGAGCTATTCAACGGGTTTAACAAACTATAAGATTACTTGTTTTTTAAGATTACATATTTTTGTAATTTTTCAGCAAGAATTCTAATCATTAGATAGTGAATAAATGCATAACCCATTTAATCTTGAAAATGTTTTTTAATGTCAGTGTAAACTCTTGGTTTAAATGTTAGGATTGGCTAAATAGAGCCAAAATTATAATGCTGGCGAAGATTCTGAGTCATCCAGGTCATAGTCATTCTAAAAAAGTTAACCATCCCCTTTTTTCCCCCACGATAAAGACGTTTCGCTTCCATCCAGAAAGCTTTGAGTTCAAAATGCCTGGAGTGGATCTCCAGGCTTCATAGGATTGCTCAACAAAACTTTGTCATGGCTTAGAACAGAGGTCTTTCCAGGCCAAGGACCCCCAAACTGATTGTGAGATGGAGCAGGGACCCCCTAATTTCATATATATCGATGAAATTGTCTTATATCAAACTTGTCCTATAGTCACTCTATTACAGATGGAGTAATGTGACAAATGTTATTTCGCCCTGGGATTATTAAAGTATTTCTTATTCTGATTCCTGGTTGATGGGACAGGTGTGAATGAAACAGTGCCCAGCTTGAAAGAGCTCCTGTGTGCATTGATGACAGAAAGACATCTTCTGCCTACTTTATCTGTTTACTACAGTGTGTTGAATTCATGTTAATGTGTATTTGAAGTCAATTTAAATAGTGAAAAGATTTGCAGGGGGGAATATAAATAAAAGGTCTAATCAAGCAAAACTTTCACGACCCCCATGCAGTACCTCTATGGCCCCCCTAGGGGTCGCGGACCCCCTGCTTAGAAAACATGCAAACTTATCAGTAGCAGGTCCACCACTTGTATTTAGGAAGTTATTAGGGTCGTTATTGGCCCGGTTTACCTTAAGCATCGGAGCGACGTTTCACATTTTTCAGAGCGACATTTTGACCACCTACGGTGGCCGGAGTGACTCAAAACTTCACTCCGATAAGCACTTGTGCGGTGTTTTGCATTTACTGGAAACATCGCAAAACATCGCCCTGGGTAAGCCAGGCCAACATCGACCGTAACGACTCCCCACTGCAAGGAATGGACCTGCTTCGGTTTTTTGTTTTAAAGTACAGTCGGCGGGAGGTCCAACTCTAATTCCTGCTGAAGACTTTTTCAAAAGTAAGCAGCAAATAAAACTATAGCAATTTCAAACTCAATTTATACGTTATAAATCAATATAATGAAATAAAATGTACCATTTTTGTGATTCCCGACCGACTTATTCGGAAGAAATTTCAGCGAACAGCGGTGAGTCAGGAAGAGTTCCTACCGGCGTGGTTAGCTCTACAGGAAAAAGGACGAGGCTCGGCCTCCTGCCTTTTTATCATCTCCTCATCCGGGTCACTGCCGCTGCTTATTCTTCTTCTTCTTCTTTGGTTGCGTCGCTTGTTTAACACCGAACAGCGACATCTCGTGGCCTTCTTATGGTTTGCCTGTTCAACTAAATGTCGAACAAATCCTTGAATTATACTCTATGTATATAAGACATAAGAAGTCTCAATATAATAAAGTAAATTCGTAACTTTTCAAAGTGATGTTTTGCATCTTTATTCAGCTTTGTTATAGATCGCAGTTTCCTCATCAGTACCCACAGAGAGCAGTAAAGAAAGAAAACATACACAATGAGACATCAAAATAATTTTTCACAGAAAAAGTAAATTGGGCTTGGTTTTATTAAAGGAGGAAACAATTTAGAGCACCTTAAAGATATCAGGTAAAGTGTATAAACAGCACCAGAAGGTCATTTATCAGCATAGGTGGAGTGTAAATTTAAAAGCATATTGGCTGTGCAACTTTATCTTTTTAAAACTCTACTCTCACCAGATTTGCATCTCATTTTGTTGATTCAGGAATTTCCAAACGTTCATTCGAGCTTATTTATACAGCGCCAATTCACATTTTATTTTAAAGCACGGTCCGATTACAACCAATGTTACAAATATTTAGTTTATTCACTCATTTAAAAAAAATCCTTGCGTTGTTTGAATCAGTGGAGGGAATGTTATATTAATGTTTTGAGTTATTTATTCGTCCAAATGTATTTCTACAGTTAAGAAAATTATACAATAAAAGAAAATCTTGAAAGTTTGAGCCCATGTTATGTTGTTCTAATGTTTACCACTAGTACAGAAACATATTTGTGTATCCCATTGGAGTCACCAAAATCAAACTGTCAGCTTTTAAGGTAAACATTTCCTTTTTTATCAGTTAGCCAGTAGGTTTCCTTCTGGAGTAAATCAAC